ATTTTTTTTCCAGCAATTTCTGCCTAAAAATCACAATGCCAAAGAGGTTGCTATGTTAGCAGCTTGCCGAACTTAAAAAGTTATGCAAGCGTAATTATGATAAATTATCGTAATCCTATCTTCAAGAATAATACACATATTTTGAAGTATTTGATTTAGATTATAAAAATTTTTTTGATTTATATTAAATAGAAAAAAAAATCTTCTCACGTTTATTTAACTTAAACTACTATATTGTTACTAGCTCATTCATTCCTCTTTACGTAATTTTAATTTTCCTTTGAACAAAAAATCGTTAAGTTCCCTCTTAATTCAGTTCCCTTCTTCTTCTCTACGCATCATCAACTGAGAGAAGTCCCGTGTGTTTCGAAGCCTACCACTGCGTTTATCTGCATTCCTTTGTACCAACAAGAAATAATATATGTCCCTCTTTGACGTTATTGATGGGAAATAATGGGGATGTATCGAGTTTCGGTGCGGACAAAAGAGAACGTCCCCTTGAAATCCAAGTCAGCAGTAGAACGGAACAATAGCAATACATGAAAAAGAAGAATTTCACCTAACTTTATCTTCGGCGTATTCAACGTGCGTTAATCTTCTTTGATTGACCGTCAACGACTTTCATCTTATAATCTCGAAGAAATTTTAATAAAACTTTTAAAGATTTAGATCGTTTCGTTTCGTGTCAAGATACGATTTTGCTAAACCAACTTCCAAAAACGACTATAATAACTTGTTAATACGTATATAATCTTTCGAAATGATTTAAGGTTTCAAACCGTACATTTAAAAAGATATTTGGAATGGCGCCGCCTTTTATTTATAATAATCTTATTGAGATTAAGATTATTAAGACAAATGTTTCTCATAATCATAATTTACCACGATTTTTTTCCCTTTTTTTGTTTTTAGTTTAAATTTAGTTTTAGTAAAATCTAGTAAAGATCCTCGAGGAAGATAATGGGCACCGAATTTTTTCTAAACGGCTAGTATTTCCAACCCTCAATAGTCGACCTTGGATGCAAGATGTTATTCGGGGTTGCAAGCTATGAAATCGGCCCAAAAGAGGCAGACAAAGAGAAGGAGATGTCCAAAATTGTCTAAAAGGAGATAGGGAATTTTGGAATTTTACACGGCACGTCACTCGACTGGTTGTTATAAAAACTTTTATGTTTGAAATTTTATTTTCGCTCTCCGCAAAACTCATCTTTATGGGGTTATTTATTCGATGAGGATAGTGTTTTCAATTTACGATTTATTTAACACCCCAAAAATAAAATAAAAAAGATTTAGATACAACAAATATAATCATTTATTATTAGGGTATTTAAAAGAAGAAATTGATACATATGAGAAAAAATTTGTAAAAATAAAGTTAACCATCCAAAGAAAAAACAAAAAAAGAAAGATGTGGTGCCTATTAATTTCGTCCAAGAGCCCGGGTTGTTATTTTCGTGTGCGTAATTTTTCGGGAAGAACGAGAAAGAGAAAGAGAGATGACCAAAATAAAAAAAATCTAAAGAAAGAGAGAGAGAAGACGAAAAGCAACAGGTCTTGGGTCTTCTTTTCACGTGGCGCCGTGACGTCACGGGGGTGCGAGGGGAACGTGGTCTCCTCGCGCCCCCGCCCTTCCCGTCGAGGAGGCGAACAACAACAGCAACTGCACAAAACCAGCTTTCGGAATTAGAGATTTACAAACTGTACTAGTCTTTTAGAAAATGTTGGCCCGGTTGGTTGGCGGGCCCACGGAATCACAGCCCGAGATGCTTTAACGCCAAAGAAGGCGAGCGAAGAAGAAGAAGAGGGAAAGTGGATGAGTTAGGGCGGGAATCGATGTCGGAAAGAAGAAGAAAAATGTGTCATCGGTAGGCTAAGAAGTTTTGAGATAACGGCAAATGTAGGCACCGATAATTACAGGACCTATCCTCGCTCTATCGCTATTGGGTGTATTTACGCAGTCGAGTTATTCTCGAACAAACGAGACTTTTAGATAGTAGATGATGATCTCCAAAGAATTTATTTATGTTTCGTTCACCATTTCTTTTTTCTTTCTTGATTACATATTGTATTTTTACTTAACAACACCTTAATTAAATTAATTTAAAACAAGAAGTTATTAGATGTAATAAAATACCATCATTAGTTAATTAGATACCTCAACACTTAAGCATTAACAAGAAGCTCAAGTTAAAATATATACAACATAATACAACTAACATTTTTTTTATGTAATTAATTTTTTTAAGCATACTCTACAAAGCTCCTAAAGATGTGAGGAACACGACACCAAAAGTAATAAAGCCAAGGTCATTTGCGGCCGAGACAGTACTTTGATGTCATATCCCAGGCAGAAATTAATCACTTTTTAATGATATTAAGAGTAATCAAGCAGAGGCCCTACATTGATACCATATCGAATAGAGAAATTAGCAACTTCTCAACGATATCAAAAGTTATAAAGCCGAGGTCGCTTGCGGCCGAGGCAGTACTTTGATATCATATCGCATATAGAAATTAATCATTTTTTAATGTTATTAAGAGTAATAAAGCCGAGGTCGCTTGCGGCCGAGGCACTACTTTGATATTATATCGCATACACAAATTAATCAGTTTTTAATGATATTAGTAATAAAGCCGAGGTCGCTTGCGGCCGAGGAACTACTTTGATACCATATCGCATAAAGAAGTTAGCCGCTTCTCAACGATATCAAAAGTAATAAAGCCAAGGTCGCTTCCGGCCGAGGCAGTACTTTGATATCATATCGCATACAGAAATTAATCACTTTTTAATGTTATTAAGAGTAATAAAGCCGAGGTCGCTTGCGGCCGAGGTCCTACATTGATAACATATCGCATAGAGAAGCTAGCCACTTCTCAACAACATTAAAGGTAATAAAGCCAAGGTCGCTTGCGGCCGAGGCAGTACTTTGATATCATATCGCATATACAAATTAATCAGTTTTTAATGATATTAGTAATAAAACCGAGGCCCTACATTGATACCATATCGAATAGAAAAATTAGCCACTTCTCAACGATATCAAAAGTAATAAAGCCGAGGTCGCTTGCGGCCGAGGCAGTACTTTGATATCATATCGCATACACAAATCACTTTTTAATGATATCAAGAGTAATAAATCCGAGGTCGATTGTGGCCGAGGCACTACTTTGATATCACACCGTATTCAGAAATTGATCACTTTAGAAAAGTGGTAGAAAGTAGTAGAAGTAGAAGTAAGTGATTATTGTTGTCTCTTTCCAAAACGGGGATATTATTTACATAAAAAAAAAGTTGAAACATAATATTGATAAATGATACATTCAATGGTATATGTTTCTAAACAGAAAGGAAATAATCTTATTTATTTTTATAAAAACCCCATAGAAAGAAGTTGGTTTGTTACAAATGGTGATTTGTTACAAGTTGCGTGGGAATGTCGCCAATGTATGGTGTTCGTTCTTCATTGTACGNATCGCATACACAAATTAATCAGTTTTTAATGTTATTAGTAATAAAGCCGAGGTCGCTTGCGGCCGAGGCACTACTTTGATACCATATCGCATAAAGAAGTTAGCCGCTTCTCAACGATATCAAAAGTAATAAAACCAAGGTCACTTGCAGCCGAGGCAGTACTTTGATATCATATCGCATACAGAAATTAATCATTTTTTAATGTTATTAAGAGTAATAAAGCCGAGGTCGCTTGCGGTCGAGGTCCTACATTGATAAAATATCGCATAGAGAAGCTAGCCACTTCTCAACAATATTAAAGGTGTTAAAGCCAAGGTCGCTTGCGGCCGAGGCAGTACTTTGATATCATATCGCATACACAAATTAATCAGTTTTTAATGATATTAGTAATATAACCGAGGTCGCTTGCGGCCGAGGCCTTACATTGATACCATATCGCAGTGGTGTCCACTAGTTTTTGACAAAGATCAAGTTTTTATATAAATGTCAAGATCGACCAAAGGGTTTAAAATCTTTTTTTGCATTTTAAAACTCACCTTAGGTGTCCCTACAGGCTCTACATTGATACCATATCGAATAGAGAAATTAGCCACTTACAATTAGTAATAAAGCCAAGGTCACTTACGGCCGAGGCAGTACTTTGATATCATATCGCATACAGAAATTAATCACTTTTTAATGTTATTAAGAGTAATAAAGCCGAGGTTGCTTGCGGCCGAGGCAGTACTTTGATATCATATCGCATACAGAAATCACTTTTTAATGATATCAGGAGTAATAAATCCGAGGTCGATTGTGGCCGAGGCACTACTTTGATATCACACCGTATTCAGAAATTGATCACTTTAGAAAAGTGGTAGAAAGTAGTAGAAGTAGAAGTAAGTGATTATTGTTGTCTCTTTCCAAAACGGGGATATTATTTACATAAAAAAAAAGTTGAAACATAATATTGATAAATGATACATTCAATGGTATATGTTTCTAAACAGAAAGGAAATAATCTTATTTATTTTTATAAAAACCCCATAGAAAGAAGTTGGTTTGTTACAAATGGTGATTTGTTACAAGTTGCGTGGGAATGTCGCCAATGTATGGTGTTCGTTCTTCATTGTACGACCTGAGATTGTAAAACTTATAGGTCACACCTGCCAAAGAGAAATTTCCAATATTCCGGTCGAAAGGGCGCTTTCGATCCCACATAACAAAGTAACAAAACCGCGCTTACCAGAGGGCGTCGACGGAATTAAAAATACCCTTTATTCGTACCCCCTTCGTAGTAGGCTTAACGCACTTTGACGTGACCCGTGTTAAATAAAGACCTGTAATTTTTAGTTGCACCCTAGCGACCACACAAGTTTTTATAATAACACATTTTGCACGATTTTTATCACAATGCGTTTGGAATAATGTATGATTAAATTGTCGATTTTGACTCAAATAACCTATTGTTGCTTTTTTTGTTAGGGTTGAAATAAGAAAATTTAACGACGTTTTAAAAAATATATTATATAACAAATTATATGTGAAATTAATTTCTTGTAAAGTTACAATTAGAGTGATGGACTGGTTTTAAATAATTTTTGTTCGTATTAAATCCAAGATGTTTGATTAGAAGATGAGCACTTTCCATACTCTTTTTACTTGGTTTCATTTTTCGTGTTCCAATATACAAAATACCTAAAAATTTACTTTGATTACGTTTTATATTTTTATTACGAATGCGTTATTACCTTTATTTGGGTCTTCAGGAAAACAAAGATAAGCAACACACCATGAATCATAATCAGTTCCAACGGTCCAACCAGATCTTATTTCTAATTTTGATATTCATAGTTAATTTACATAAAAGTTAATTTTTAAATACTTACTTCCATTCCAATTAATCGTATACTCTGAAGTATTTCCGACTTGAATCAATTTGATGTTATGAGCGTTTGAGTCTCTTATTTGTTGATGATAATAATTTGCAACAATGACCGATGGTGACCGTTTATTTCTCTTAATACTATAGTCATAAAGCAAACATTCTTTGTTGCTTTCATCCTCATCTCCCACTTCTTGAATGAACCACGTTCCCATTGCCTATCAATAAAATTTAATTTAATTAATTAATTAAATAAAATTTAAAAAACTTACCCTTTCAATATCAAAATTTTTAATTAAAGGAACATAAATACATTCATTATTATAGCTTCCACTTGAATATGAATGTAATGTATGAGGGTAGGTGAATAGAAAGATAATGACTATTGCAATCATTTTTAAAGAGTTCAATTTGAGAATAATCGTCGGAGTGCTTCAACGTTTTCTTATATAATATGGAAAATTTTATAAACGTAGAAGTTAACATAAATTGTTAGAATTATTTTAATATAACTGTATCCCTTTACAGTCGACCAAATGAATATATTATTATACTAAACCATCTTTATTATCAAGTATTTTCATGTTTGAACGCCATGAAGTGGTGAACTTTCCCACTCACTCTTTCACACAATTTATGTTATGCGAACTACGTAGTATGAAATTTTTTAAGTAAAAGTGAAAAGTATTAATTAGTGCGATAACGATTAAAATGTAGAAAAATTTTAATAATTTTTTCTTTAAAATTTTAACCATTAAAATTCTTTTCATAATGTTCGAACGTTTGACATCTGTCTTGTGGTCTACTCTTCGTTTAAGGGTTGTCAATTACATTGTTCGAAAGCCACTCAACTCTTTAACGAAAAGCGCACGTGATGGAAGTCCGTAAGAAGAGATTTAAAAAAAATCTCCCATGTTGTAACGACCTCAATTCTTTAATCTTTAAAGAACTTTTGTAATAAGATATATGTTCATTAATTGCTTTAAACCTTTGTGCATATATCATGGAATAAATAACGATGAAATAATTTATAGCGAAAGAAAAAAGGTGACTAAAAAAAAATTGAGTACCTTGAGGGTTAATCTACCGTTAGTTTTGCCATAAAAACGTAGGCAGTTTACCTGGTGAGCCCTCTACAGGGATCCGCTACGTAAAGGAATCTAATTAAGGGCAAAGATGAAAAAGGAAATAATTCCTCGATCCAATTAAAAGGGAAAAAAATAAAATTTAGATGGGTTGTGACGTTGAAAAATGCATAGGTTCCGGTTGAATGTGAAGTAATTAATAATTTATTTATTTTGAAATTAATTATTTGTGTTAAGTATCTTGAAATAAATTGAAAAAAAAATTAACTGCAACAATTTTGAGGTTGTGGTCATTAACATCATACTAGTGTTTTAATTCTCAGTTGTCACCAAATACTCAAACACTTTCTTATAAATGTTTAAGAACAAAAACTCTTTTATTGAGGCATGTATGGTCTAAACCAGCCATGTCCAACCCAAATTACTCTTCGGGCCAAAATTTAGGAATGTACAAGGCACTAGGCCGCCACCCACCTGAACAAGAAAATTTCAATTCTAGCGCACACTCGCGCTCAAATGAGATACGTATACACAAACTAGCATGTACACAGATATACACAATAATATATAGGTATTTCAGTAAATTACAACAGATATTTAATGTGAAACTTGTTTATTTATTTTATTTGAAATTTTTTTAATATCAACTTCTAATTTTGTTGTGGCACAACGTAACTGATTCGTCAAATTTGCGTCGGTGAGCCTGTTACGGTCTTTGGTTTTGACTAATTTTAATCTAGAAAAAAATGACTCACAGAGATATGTTGTGCCGTTTGCTGCCACAATACACATAGCTAATTTTTTCAAATTAGGAAATTTATCTTCCTGGATATATTTTCCATAAAAGTCGACTATATTGATGTCCTCAAACCTTAATTTCATTTCTGAGTTGGACTGCAGATCGATAAGTTCCAGTTGTAAATAACCTGGAGCTGAATTCACATCAATATTAAATGGACAATTAAAAATATTGAACATTTGTTCAAATTTTTCTAGGTAGGCAAATCTTTTTTCAAATTCCTCAAGCAAATCTTTAATATTATGCGAATATTCGGAAATGGGTTTATTTTCCATTTCGAAATCATTTAAGTGAGGGAAATGTGTGGCATTATTCGATTTCAGTTGATTTTGAAAATATTTTAATTTAGCAATGAATGTCTTTATGTCTTGATAGCAATTCGTAATTAATTTATTTTCTCCTTGAAGATTCTGATTTAGTTCATTTAATTTAGTTGTGATATCTATTAAGAAACACAAATCCAACAACCATTTTTCATCGTATAATTGTGGAACGTCTTCGCCGTTCTCATTCATGAAAATTCTAATTTCTTCCCTGAGGTTCCAAAATCTTAATAAACATTTTCCACGACTCAACCATCGTATTTTGGCGTAATATATTAGGTCACAGTACTCGGACTCCAGTTCGCGAAGGTATTCTTGAAACTGGCGGTGTTTTAATGAATTATTTTTTATTTTGTTAATAATATTAATGACAACTGACATCACGTGAGACATATTTAATGACTGAGCACATAGATTTTCTATATGTAAAAAACAATGACAAATAAATAAATCCAAAAATGATGTATTTTGTCCCAAGCTTTCAATATGTTTGCAAATTAAAGTAACTGCTCCTATGTTTTTTCCTATCATTGATGGTGCTCCATCGGTTGTAATACCAATAAGTTTTTTTAAATCTAATTGTCGATCTTCCGCGCATTTTAGAACAGCATCTTTAATATCTTTGCCCGTTGTTGTATCCTTCAGACTCACAAGATCAAGGAGTTCTTCTGTTACTTTCAGCTTATTATCAACTCCGCGAATAAATATAGCAAGTTGTGATGTATCCTTGATATCGGTTGTTTCATCCAAAGCTAATGAGTAGTACACAAATTGTTTGGTATGTTCATTGAGGTTTAGGGAAATTTCATTGGAAATATCATCAACTCTACGTGCAACAGTTTGATGAGACAGACTTATTTGTTTATAAATATGAACTTTTTCCGGGCTAATATCTTCAGCTGCAGCAATTAAACATTCTTTGATGTATTCTCCATCCGAGAAAGGTTTCATTTTTTTAGCAATAATTTGAGAAATTTTTAAACTTGTACTGACAATGTCGTTTGATTGTTGATTTTGTTTTTGAAACACATTTTGTTGAGACTTTAAGTTAGCTTTAAGTAAGTGTAATTTGGCCTTGCGTTCACCACCAGAAAGTACAGAAAGTTCCGTATGTTTTTCATAATGTCTTCGTATGTTATAAGTTTTAGCAGTAATCGTTTCACGACAAACTAAGCACACAGCATTATTTTTTACTTGCAAGAAAAAGTAGTCATCTTCCCAATTATTTTTAAATTGTCTGTTTTCATCTTCTAGTTTTCTTTTCTTCCTACCCGACATCGCACGTCAATATTATGGACAATTTTATTTATTCTGGTATAATTAAAGAAACGAATAAATTTTTGTAGGACTGCAAATTAAAATAAAATATTACTTACTTTTATTTTCACAACCTTTTTAAAACAATAAGTTTATCAACTCTGTGATTAATCAACTCTCTACGAAGAACTCGCATAAACTGAAGGGACTAGAAAATTTTATGATTCAATCCACTTTTGAGCGAAACAGGGGAATACCCGACAAAACGGACAAATTCGCAGTTACGTATCTCCGAATCTACGTAAGTCGGGTTTACGTAGGTCGGGGTATTTACTGTATTCGTAAACGCCATACATCGGGATTCGCTATTGTGCAAATTATTTTTTTAACATCGTCATTGCCGACACCTCGGCGGCGGTGTCAAAAAAATTAAGATGAAAGGTTCTTCCCAATATATTAAGCTATGTGTTTACCAAATTTGGTGAAATTCGGCCAAGGAATAACTGAGTAAAATCGGTATATAGGTACCTACATACATACAAGATTCCATTTTTATATATTAAGATATAGGAGTTTTATAAAACGTCATTCGACCAAGTAATAAAAATTATTTGTATTATCGATTATTAAAATTTAAATATTAATTTGTGCGATTTCCTTTTTTTGTTATCGGGCCGCACAAAAATCGCAATCGGGCCGTAGGCGGCCCGTGGGCCGCCACTTGGACATTGGCTGGTCTAAACAATGTTGGCGAGGAGTTGATTAGATTTCAGATTGGTCAAGAAAACCAAATTCAGCAACCATTTTCTGGAAACCTATTCAAAATCTATTCTTAATGATTAAAGTCCATTTTGCTCCAATAAAGATGCTCAGATGAATGTCTCATCAAAGATCGTGTCACCATCGAAATACTTAGAGCCTGCGTTGCAGTGAATTTTAATATCTTTAATGATTGGCTGAGAATTGGCACTTTTCTGAAAATATGGAAGAATGCTCAACAAAGTTATTGTAATAAATAATAACTTGAACCTAAGTAGGTCGCATATCAAAATGCTATCAAGTATCAGGGTGATTAATTCATAGTCGACATATCAAAATAACTCTTTAAATAACTCCAAATCTAACTTCAATTTTAAAAAAGTTCAAGTTTTTATATTAATATCAGTAAATGGAATATAAGTAAAGTATAAAGAAAGAGGGTTGAAAGAGTACAGAATCAGTAATGTGCTCAAAATTTTAAAGCTATTCACTTTTCAGCCATTCGCCAGCAATTTCCAAGAAACGATTTGGGCGCACCATTGTGAAGATTCATCATCATTTATATTATTTCTGCCGTAACGACTTCGGCATTTCGCTCGCAACCTTAAATTTATTTGTTGTGTTCGGCTCGTCAACGGAAGATCGTTTATTTTCTTTGCCGCCGGTGGACGCCCGAGACAGAAACTGATGGACCCTGCGACGTTGTCAACGCACTCCGATGACTTTTAACTTTAATGTCCTGCCATTTCCCCCAAAACTAGAGTATATACACATGTTTAGGAATTTCAAACACGAAGGTACATTAGCAAAACCATTAAGACGATATCTAATAGATCAATTTAAAAGATAAATTGTTTTAAATTGATTTCAAAAGCATTAAATTCTCCAAATATTTTTTTAGCTGACAACCGCCTGTTCATGTCAAAGTTGTCCCTTGCAGACTTTGCAGAGTGTGTATATTTACTCCCAAAAACGTGACTTTACTAACATTGTTCGATATGTTTATGGTTAAAGGGTTTTGCGGATTTCCGGAAAGATGTTTACAAAGCAAACATTTAACTTTTACAAATATTCAAAAAAAAAAAAAATTTTTACC